GCGCGGCGCGGCGCGGCGCGGCGCGGCGCGGCGCGGCGCGGCGCGGCGCGGGGCGTTTGGGGTGGGGGCTCGGCGGTCGCTGGGCCGCGCCTGTACCTTAGCCGAACCTGCCCTGAGGGCTGCACGGCTGAGCTGGGCAACAGCGAGCACGGTTTGAATAAGAAGAAAGTGCGGCGTGGAGGCCCGAGCAAGGGCCTCCGCCCACCTCAGCCGACGGATGGCGAGGTAAATGTCGTCATAGGGGCACCAGCCCGAGCCGGCGCCGCTGTGGGCGTGATGCATGCCGCCCTGCGTCGGTCGCGAGCAGCGACGAGGAAAGCGTGGTTGTGCACGCGCGCACACGAGTAGGGTTGCAGAGAAGGGAGCGAAATGATCTTCTTGTCCTTGGGCAGCAGAAAACAGGGATGCAACAACCAGGGTCCTGCCAGGGCCCCCCTGGAATCGCCCAAAACAACACAATCACACGGCGGGGTTCCGCGCCCTGCCGCCCTTGCTGCCGGCGCACCCCAATGTTGACGGCCCATCCGCGCTCGGCCGCCAGCGCTGCCGCCAGCACCGTGCCCGCCACATGAGTCCGCTGGAGGGGAGGGGCGGGGGCAAGGAGCGCTCGAGGTAAGCAGGCAGGTGCGCCGTCGTCAAAGACAGTGCTGTACGCGCTGCTTCGCAGCCCGTTGCGCAGCGTGTGGTGCGGGAGGCAAAGCGCAGGATCACCTGTGACGTGCCCAGGCTGCCGGGTCCGTGAGTGTGCGTGCGTGCCGCATTATGGGAGAGCCGCAGTACCAAGAGCTGCAACTCCGACCGCCCGCCGTCTGTGAGCCCTCACCATGCCGGCCATGACTTTCTTGTCCACCACGGCTGCTGGCAGCAGTGCCAGTGGGGCCAGCTCCAAAACCTGATGGAGGGTGCAGGGGTCGGGGTTCCGAGCATCGGCACAGGCGCTGCACGGCGCATCACCTCAAGTGAACGGCGCGCTCGCGGGCGTTGGGTGCGCAGAGCGACACCCAGCAGGCGCCCGACCTGCAGCTGCTTGAGCCCTCTGATGGAATGCGCAAGGACGCCCCTTGAGGCGGCGCTGACGGCGCCCTGAAGACAGCCAGATGCTGGTGCGGAGCAACCACCCAACAGGCGCTCAAGCCCTGACCACGCACCCCCATGCGCTGCAATTGTGCAATCCAGACTCCTGCACACAATCACAATTGCTAGAAAAACTCGCATGTGGCACGCATGCACGCGCGCATGTGCAAAAAGTGCGCACCTCGGCCGCCTTTTTGCTGCTGGAACGCAGCCGAGCCAGGTAGGCTCCCGAGTGGACATCCAGCAGCAGCTGCTCCGGCGCCTCTGTCGGTGTCACCAACTGCCGGTGCGGGTCGCTGATGATGCCGCGCCGCTGAAGCCCGTCGACGACCTGCCAGGGTGACATGCGTGTTTGCGGGGGTAAGGGGGACGGCCCAAAATCCAGCTGCTCAAGTCTTGTGGCGTTTAATACTCTCTGCATCAGCAGTGCGTCGGTGGCGCTGGTGCATGCACCGAATGAGAGAGGGCGGACTGGCGCGGCTTGCGGCTCACCCTTCGAAACTTGCAAGCGTCAAAGGGGTGCAGCTTCTCTATGCCAAACAGCGAAATGTTATACGCCTGGTGGGGGCGCGGCGAGGAGAGACGGGTGTTTCTGCGCAAGCAGCCGGCGCTGCGTGTGATTGAAGCCACAGCTGCAGCAGCGCCTTGCAGCAACAGCGTCACCGCCACCTACCCCAAAAAAGAGGGCTCGCGGCTTTACAAACAGCGCGAATGACCTTCTGGCAGCAAGGGGTCTGCTGCGGGGCGCGCCTGTGCCCCGCCACGCCCACCTCGCTGTACACGATGGGCAGCTGCGCGGCGCCTGGCCAGGTGGCGCAGCAGTCTGCATAGTGGCGAGACAACGTCGAGCCCAGCCCTGGTGACGCAACCGCGGCCGCCCCGGCCATCAAACTCCTGCTGCTGCTGGTGCAGATACTGCTACTACGTCTGCTGCTGCTCCTTTGGTTTCTGGTGCAGCTGCAGGTGCGGCTACTGCTCCTGCTGCTGTAGCTGCTAGCGCCAGATGTGCCGCGTGGTGGTTGGTGCGCTGAGTGCCTGAGATACAGCGCCCGGTGTGCTACTGCGTGGTGCGTGGTATGCAGTCGCGCCACACTCATAACAGAAACGGAATTCACCTCAGCTCGCACTGAGTGAACAGCATGGCCGACGTGATAAGATCAGCCGCGTGATGGTCGATCTGGCGTTTACGCGTACCGTTTGAAAGTGAGTATAGTTTGCAAGGAATTGACCACCCACTTCAAAACAGGTGCAATCGCTTATTGGTATCGTGCATTGGCAACATGTGTGCTGTCTCGCCGAGACAGCTGCGACGTCAAGGTTTGGCCGCTAGCGTCTGCGAGCAAGGCGTTCAGTTCAATGATCAAATGTGTTTTCAAATCAAAGTATACCTCAACTACCTTGGAGTCGTAGTCGGCCGTCACCGTCTCACCGGGGATCCGAAGGAACAAGTGCGGCAAGCAGCAGAGTGCATAAAGAGAGTGGGGTATCCCTGCCCGTAACCTTTGTGTTTTAGTAATGGTGCCAGCAACTCCATCACCTCCAGAAAGCACGTTGCAAGGGGGGTCAACCTATTGTTGACTGCGCTTGCAACATGGGCTTCGTGATCCATGGCGCCTGGCTGCAAAGAGCAGGATTCAACCTTCTTAGAATAGGTGTGACCGGAGCAACCACGCACCGGCATGTGCCCCGGCACGCCGTTTGTTCGGCCAGACAGCACGCTGGGGAAAGTGCGCATGGGTGCGGCCCAACGGCAACTTTTCCCCTGCATAATGTGAAGCGTACCGTTCGACTGCACAAGCTGCACTAAGTGACATCTCTGCTATCCTGTAATGTCAAAAGCACGCATGCCTGATGTTCCCTTTCCGGCTGGCCTAAATCTGGTCCCCTGGGCCAAGCCAGCAACCCAGGGCATGCACGAGCAGGGCAAGAGCACGGATCAGAATCGGCCCCTAGATAACAAGCCACCCCTGACTGTCCACCTCCTCAACAGCATAGAACCACAATTTACAACCCCAATGCATCTTCACATGCACTTTGTTCGCTCGCGGCGAGTATTGCAGGGCAATGGTCTGCAGCGAGTGCCATTCGTGCTGTTTTTATACTGCTGTGGAACACACGATCGACAGCCGGTCCTCACTGTGCGTGGGCATATCAAGTATTGCAGGGAGCCGTGACTTTACACTTTTCCCGGCACACGAAAACAACTGCAGCTCATGTCGGAAAACCTGCGGACGTCCCCGCGATCTCCCTCGCCAGCTCGCTTTGACTAGTTCTCCAACACCTTCGTCGATACTTTGAACTTAGCTGGCAACGCCTTGAGGCTCCCGGCCACTTGCCAGATCAGCCTCACCGCAGTTGCTCAGTTGCCTCGCCAGGATGCTCGCTGCTGCCAGGTACGGGCTTGTGTAGTCGCTGTCTGTTCACATTACGAGACCAGCCGTGGAGGCCTGAGCGTCTTCGCTCGCGAGCGGCGCAACGGGCTTGCTGGCAACGATCGCTCTCTGCTTCTATTTGCAGGACGACCGCCACCCGCCCCGCCGCCGGCGCAAGCCGCGCCCGCGTGGTCCAGGTCAACGCCGTGGCACAGCCTAAGCACAAGCGCGCCGCGGGGAAGGCGCCGCAGGCGTCGAGCAGCAGCGGCGCCGCCAGCAAGGCTAGCGGCGCCAGCAAGGAGGAGAGTCGCAAGGCGCGTGCAGCGGCGTACTCCACGTGGCAGGTGCGCACCGCCTTATCAGCCCCGCGATGATGATCCGGCTCCATGCAGAAGCCTCAGCAGGCATGATGCCCTAGAAGCCCTGCCAGGGCCACCAGCGCTCTGACGGCCCGCCTCAGGGCCGCCTCGCACCCTGTAAACCCCGGTTGCCTGCCGCCGCTACCCACCTCTATACTTGCACCCCCTTGCCCCTCTCAGGCGATGGCGAAGCACGCCTCAACGTCATCTGCGACCCCCTCGGGCTTCGACGAGTCTATGATGTGAAAGGGCTCACACCTAGTCAGGTAGCTGGCTGCAGGCGGCTGGCCGCCGAAGCCAAGCATGCGGTGTGTTGAGGTGCCCTGGCCCGACACCTGCCTGCTGGCCGCCTCCTCGTAGAGACACACCGTGCCCTCGCACGACGCAAGGGCGCTCGGCTCGCGCGGCTGTCAATGTGCCGGTGACGTCGTCCACTGGGCTGAATTTTTTGCACGCCAGATCGCCGCACATGCGGCGACGGCGCATGTAGTTGTGTTTATTTACTGCGAAAACAGCTGTGCTGAAAATCATCCAGTGCACAAGCCGACATGATGACACATGGGAGGCATGAATCGTTCGAGCGCACAAAAACACACACGTTGCGCCCCTCCCATTCTTACACCTCACCTGCGCTTTGCCGCTGCGTGCCACGCCGAGCCGGGCTTGATCCACATATGGCGCGCAAATCGCGTACAGTTTTGCTGTTGCCTCCCTGCGGCAAACGTTATCCGCCGCAGCTGCAGAGTTCGATGGGTGCGAGCGGGGCAAAAACCCCATGGCTTGCTGTATATTGGCATTGCCACCTGCGATGTCAGCTTTCATACATCTGCATCGTAACTGTACCACGGAGCACTTGCACAGAGGGCACAGGGGAGTGTTGGCGGCCGCGGTGAAGCCGGGGTGTGGGGGTGTCAGATGCCAGGACTTGTGTCAGACCCAGTCAGGCAGCGGTGCCAGCAATGACGCAACGCCTTTCGCAGGGCACAGAACAAGCCGCTTGGACCAGCGTGGGCCCCTGTGACGTCATGGGCTTCTCATGTTTTGGTCCTGTGGGTGAGGTGTCCCTGCGCAGCAATGACCGGTGAGACAGTTCCCCAGGCCCACGCGTCACCCACTCAGCTGTTGCGACCAATGTTTGACTGTTGACCCCTATTCTTGCTGTCTTGGACCCTGTCGCAACCCCCTCCCCACCGCTGTACGTGCGCCCACCGCACCCTGCTGCACGCACCTGATAACCCAGTGCCCTTCACTGCTGTTCGCCTTCATCCATGAATCCAACCACTCCGCCACGCGGAAGCACACCTGGTTTGCTGTTGCCCCTGTCATCTCACCACCCTCCCCTCCTTCTTGTCGTAACACATCCTGTCTCTGTTGAACCACACAAATGATCGGAGTGCCCGCGCACCGGTCACTGGTTACAACAGAGCTGCATAGTGATGTGCACCATGGCCGTGTGATCACACGTCAGAACAAAACAAAACTTTGCAATTTTTAACCCAGTAGTTCTGCAGCAGCTCAGCAAGAGCTATGGCGTTTAGACCTCCTGCGAGGACGTCGCTGCAGCGTGGCACAGCGGGTTCTCGTACAGCCTCTGTGGCTGCTAGGCGCCTGGTTGTGCCGCGTGTCTCGCTGCTGGACGCCATTGTCAAGCCGATCACCACCAGCGGCCAGGTATGCGCGCTGCGACTGCAGCGTGTGATGCATGTCGAGGACGCAGCCCTCAGTGCCGGCTATACACAGCTCCCCATGTGCCGTCAGCGTACCCCAGGACGCTGGTGAACTGCTTGCGTGGCGCCTGCAGCGGGCGCCTTGGGTGCAGCGGGCGATCATTCAATGCGGCTCTGGTGAACCCTCCCCGAAGCTGTGCCGGGGGCCTGCCCGAACAGCAGCGCCCCTGCGCCCACGCGACCCTCAGATCGATGACCTGAAGAAGGGCATCGCCACGTTCTACGATGAGAGCTCTGGGCTGTGGGAGGAGGTCTGGGGGGAGCACATGCACCACGGTGAGCCTGGGCGTGGCAGCGGCAGCGGTCGCGCATCAACGGCGGCCGCTCTCGCTAGCTCCGGGTAGCGCCGATCGGCGTCCTGGAGGGAAAATCAGAGCAATGGTCCTGCGATACGGGAAGTGCCTGTATTTAGTGATAAGCACACCATGACTAGGCAGGCATGCCCAGGCACGCCGCACTGCCATCATGGTCGCGCCTCCGCGGCTCCCCTCCCAAACGCCACGCTGCAGGCTACTATCCGGCTGGCGGCGCTCCCAAGTCCAACCAGCAGGCGCAGATTGATATGATAGAGGAGACGCTTTCTTGGGCCGGCGTGGACACGCCACCCAAGACGGTGGGTGCGGCAGGAGAGGGGTGTTTGTGACCAGTGTGGCAAGGCCACAGAGGGGGGCCGGGGGCCTAGCTCTGGGGCAACTGCAAATCGCAAGTGTTGGGCGGTATGTGTGTGTGTGTGTGTGTGTGTATGTGTGCGTGTGTGTGTGTGTGTGTGTGTGTGCAAGCGTGTGGGTCTGATCGGACGGCAGAGAGCTGTGGTAACCTCGTGTGGACGATGCTCACCAGGGTCGCGCATCAAAGTTGCAGGCGCGTCTCAAGCCGCATCCTGCGCTCTGGCCGCGCGCAGATGGTGGACGTCGGCTGCGGCATCGGCGGCAGCAGCCGCCACATAGCCCGGAAGTATGGCTGCACGGCAAAGGGCATCACGCTCAGCCCCGTGCAGGCGGCGCGCGCCAACGCGATCAGCGAAAAGGCGGGCCTTGGGGACAAGTGCTCCTTCCAGGTGGGTCCACTGCGCGGAGCGGGGCCTGATTTTGGCGGGCTCGCGGGCGCAGTGGTGGGCTGGCCCTGCTACAGATACAGTCTGCCGGGCACGCCTCAGCGTCCCGGCGGCCGGGTGGTGCGTCGTGCGGCTGTTGCTGCTGCATTGGCCAAGCTATCTGGGTGTGTGGGCGCAATTAACCTTCGGCGACATCCCATGCGCGCGCGCTCCCTTGCGATTACAGACACAGAAACACACACACACACACACCTAATGACGGTGCGCGCGTGCTCTCCCACAATCCACGCACCATTAACCTGACATGCGCCCTGCAGGTCGCGGACGCCCTGCACCAGCCCTTTGACGACGGCAGCTTCGACCTGGTCTGGTCGCTCGAGAGCGGAGAGCACATGCCCAACAAGCCGTGAGCCTTCCCCTGCAGCATCCCCGTGCTGCCAAGTGCTGCTGGTACCCTGTGCCGCCCCGACCGCGGCGCGGCATGCAGCCCTTTGATTGCCCAGATGCACTTGGTGGGCTGGCGCATTAACTGGCCTCATGCGCGCACAGGCAAGGCTCACCTACTCGGGCACCAGCTTTTTGCGCCTGTCGGCTGGCCTCCCCCACTTGAACGCGCCCGCCCGGCCGCCGCCACCCCGCGCGCCGACCCTCGCGCCACCTTGAATCCTGCCAGGCAATTCGTGCGGGAGCTGGCGCGCGTCTGTGCCCCCGGCGGCCGCGTCATCATTGTCACCTGGTGCCACCGCGTCCTGCAGCCCGGGGAGGAGCGGCTCAACGCCGAGGAGCTGGTGGGGGCCCTGCTGGTTGGGGCAAAGGGGGCAGGGTAGTGTGTGACGGGGCGAATGAATCATCTTGTAAGATGGGCAGCAGGGGTGTGTCGGGGGGCCGGCTGGGGTCTCGTCGGGTTGTGGCCCGGCAAGATCATGACAGGCAGCGTGCTGCGTCTGCTTCTGGGCGGCTGCGTTAGGGCAAACCACCTGGGTAGGCAGGTCGCCATGGGCAGCGTCAGCGCCCAGAACGTGGGCTACTCACCCCTAGAGGGATGGCCCTGCACCCTCTGCGGACGGGCCACCCTCCACCGCCCCCCTATGATCGGGCCACGCCCCCCCCCCCCGCAGTCCCTGCTGGACCGCATCTGCGAGGCATACTACCTGCCCGCCTGGTGCAGCATCGCCGACTACCAGCGCCTGTTCGGTGGGCGCCTGCGTCTCCCTTGCGCGCCCCGTGCGACCGCGGCGCCTGGTTGCTGGTGGATGGAAGCCGTGTGGGCGCACGAGCGCGCGCCTGTTGCCATCGCGACTGCGTTGGGGTCTGCACCGATGCTTCGAGCCGAAACCGTCGCCTGCACGCCCGCGTGTCCTGCCAGCCTGCCTGGCTTGATGTCATCCTACGTGTACATCATTCACATCCGTCCTTTCCATAATTCGGCGGCCCGTAGAGGCGGAGGGGCTGGTTGACGTGAAGACAGCCGACTGGTCCAACGAGGTGGCGCCCTTCTGGACGGAGGTCATCCGCAGCGCCCTCACCACAAAGGTGCGGCCGCGGCGGCGCGCATGCACGTGCGAGCACCGCACCCGGGCGGCTGGACACCGGTGCAGGATGCGCGGGATTCGCGCTTTGTGCTGGCGGAAGCCGGTTCGGTCCTGCTGCAGCGGCGGCGCCCGCCATTTCCCTGCCAGATGGGCCGTTGGTTGGCCCCCAAGGGGCATGCAGCAGCCACCCAGTCCACCCCCTGCCGCGTGGCCACTGCAGGGGATTGCTGGACTGTTCAAGGCCGGCTGGACGACCATCAAGGGGGCGCTTGTGATGCCCCTGATGGCGCAGGTGCGCTGTGGCGCCGTGTAGCGGCGCCATGGGCGGCCACCCATCGGCATCGCGGCTCGCAAGAGTGTTGTGACGCACCTCTTGCGAAGGAGCAGCGGCCCCCTGATGCGCATGTCCGACGGCGGGGCGACATGATAACATGCCCGCTTGTCAACCCTTCCAGTCCCGGCCCAACCGCCGACCCTCCCGCCTCACTCACCCTCCCACCAAAATGTGTCCATGGGCACTGCAGGGCTTCAGGATGGGCCTTGTCAAGTTCGTGCTGATCACAGCCAAGAAGCCTGAATGAACAATGTGCAATCGGTGTGAAACCGCTGGCTCGCATTCGAAGGGAATTCCCTCGGGCCGCGGCAGCCTCTGTGGGCTGCAGCAGGCAACGCAGGCGCAACCCTCCGCAGCACAGCGACGCAGAGGCTCCGTGCCAACCGTCACATTATGCCGGCCTGCATCCTGCAAGCACTGGTCGGCTGTTCAAAAACGACCTTGCAATGCACCCTCTCTTCGTGCTGACCTGCGCACCGCTGGCTTTGCCATTCGGGACCCGTGAACTTGTGACCGGGCAGATTGTAAAACATGGCATGGAGTAGCTTGAGCACACACACTTGCAAGTGCGCCGAGGCAGCGGCCTTGTTGTGGGCATCAGCTTAGTGTCATCAGTGCCTGAATCACGTCGTGACCAGAGAGTTGGGGTGACGCCAAACGAAAGCTGACCCGCCCAGACCCTGGCACGGGTGAGGCGGGCTGCTGAAAGGTGGGGTTGCACACAAAACGGTGGGGATTATTCAGGTGTCTCATCTTGCTCTGTCGTCACCTGCATTTTCTTAGTGCTATTGGAAAGCAGCCTTACAAGCTTCTGGCAAGGGGATGGGCACGCGGCCAGTTCGGGCTTGGGTCCCAGAACAACGCAAGGCATCAACACGATGACAGCAACGTGTGCAAAAGCAGCGCAGGACAGTTTTTAGGCCTTTGTGGTGTTTAGACCCAGGATATTGTTGGTTCATTTGACAAGATGGGGCGCTCCCACCTCCTGTCTGAACCTTGTCACAGCTTTTTTGCGGGAGCCGTAGGGCCCGCGAATAAGATGGTCGGTCCTGACCATGCCAGCAATGTCCACATGCACCAACTCGCAGCTGGCTGCTCCATGCAGCTTCGCACTCGGCGGATAGCAAACATGCTGGGTGCTTGCAATAAAGCTAGTCCAATCAGCGTGGCGTTGCTGGGCCGCCAGGACTTGCCACTGCAGTGTGTCTACATGCGGTAGTGCAGGTGTCACAAGCCTGCCTGTCCCGTGTGCCTTGCGGTGGCACCCCATGCCAACCTGTGCCTTGTATTCGCGCACAAGGTTGCCTACCATGCTCGTCCGATCAATACTCAGTGTCATAGGGATGTTTCACCTGGTGTGGATGCGTGCACTCACGATACACTTGGCGCTGCATTCGTTAGTAAACGGACCTCATGGCATCGATGGTCTGACGCTTTCCTGGACCACCAACCAGTCACAGCGCGACAGACACAGCCATTGAAACTTACATGCGCTTGCCTAAAAACACGACTCTGGGACCACCGTGATGGGCGCAACCGATCACGGCTCACATGTCGAGCAGGACCAGCAGGCTGTCTGTCATCAATTCAAGCCCAAGAGCACCTGATAATCTTTTTGGAGGCGTGTCACCCGTGTCGAGTGGCCCAAGTGGAGCAGTCTCGTGAGTGGGCCCGCGTGCGCAACAAGGCTACGAGTTACGTACAGTGCCGACGAAAGGAAGTAACCGCAGTAGAGCTAGAAGACTTGTTAGGCTCACCCTCTGCCGTTTCGAGGGCGGGCCACAGTCCTGACATCCCCGTCTGTGACAAACGCCCCTCCCAAAAAGGGTAGATGTGGCCTCAGACCGACAGCAATCAGCAGTCTTGGGGTAACCCTGATATCTCGCAGCAGCAGGCACCAGAGCAGCGCGGCGGAGGCGCGCCGCATGTTTATCGGATCGCCGCTGCCGCTGCGGCGGCCGCTGCAGGTGTAGATGGCGGAGCTGCTGCGGCCAACGCTGCCGCGACCGTGTATGCATCCCAAAACCCCCAGCCTGAAATTCGCCAGCAGCGGCCGCACACGCAGCGCGGCAGCCCGCATGGGCCGGGCGGGCAGTTGTATGTGGGCCACTTCCAACCGCCCCCCCTGTACCAGCAGCAGCTCGTTCATTACGCCCGGCAGCCGCACCTGCAGCACCACCAAGAGCACCATGGTTACGGTAGCCTGGCCCAGGCACCCGTCAACGGCTACGCGTACTCAGCGCCAGTCATGCCCGTCACAGCCCCTCCTGCATGGCCATCCACCCTGATGGGCCAGCTGCCGCAAGCCGCGCGGCCGGGCCCCCAGCAGCAGCCGTACGGTGGCGCGTATGCGCGCACCCCGCCCACACCGTTTGGGCCCATCAGCAGCGCGGAGCCGCAGCCGGGAGCAAGCGGCAGAGGGGCTGGGGGCGGGACCAGGGGGCGCAGCCGTGGGGGCAGAGGCAGCAGCAGCGCACCGGGGATCCATGGACACGGGCGGAGGTCGAAGCCTGCGGCAGGTGCGTTGGGCGAGGGTTCAAGGTGTGTGGTGCTGCCCGTAGCTTCCATGTACTGGGCAAGCGCCGTGCCAGCTTGGGGCCAAGGCAGCAACGATTGTGCCTGCCCTCGCTTGCGCGCCCTAGGTGAGTGGCATCTGTAAGTGCTGTGGTCTTACTGTGCTCTTACACGGCTTCGCCGACTCACAATTGCAGCGCCGACTTTGCAAACACGATGTTCGATGTCTCGTGCTCCCACCGCAGCCGGAAACGCCGCCGACCCCGCCGTCGACGCGCTGCTGTCATGCGTGCGCCGCACGCCGGCCGGCGGGCCTCTGGACGGCCGGGCGCTGGCGCAGGCGCTCGCCGTCATGGACAGCCGCGGCGTGGCGGCCGCGCTCAAGGAGCTGTCCCGTGGGCAGGCTGGCGGCGCAGCCGCGCGGGAGGTGCGTGGGCGACAATGTATTGCAGCGGCGCGGGCGCTGCCGCACCGCATGCTCGCCTGACCTTGGCCCTGAGTGGTCAGAGGCTAGAGGCTTAGGCACGACCATCCACGACCCCAGCCATCTGGGGGCCCCAGCGTGGCAGGCCGTCAACTTCAGCCCTGCTGCTCTGGTTCTTGTGCCGCCACCGCCTGCCGGCGCCCACCCCCGCCAGGTGTTCGACTGGCTCTGCGCGCTGCCGCCCGCTGACCCGCTGGCACGGCTGTGCGACGTGTACACCTTCACCGGCATGGTGGCGATGTGCGTAGATGGCCAGGAGCTGGCGCGCGCGATGGGGCTGGTGGAGGAGATGCGGGCGCGCGGCATCCAGAGGAATGTGCACACGTACAGGTGCGAGTTTTGCTGGGCGCGAGCCTGCCTTTTGCGTGTGTGTCGATGCCACACAGCAAACGCACAAGGGACATTTCAATGGGCTCACCGACGGCGGTCTGTGCGCCGCCGCTCTCACGCCCATCGCCCCTGCCTATACACAACCGGTGCATCCGCCGCTCAGCGCGCTGATGAATGTTTGCATCAAGTGCGGCCAGCTGCAGCAGGCGCTGAGCGTCTATAGGACCATGCAGGCGGAGGGCTGCACCCCCAATGTGAGCGGGGTCCCGAGCGCGCACAGCGCCGCAGCAATGCGGGCTTGGGCACTGGCAGCCGCTTCGCTGCCGTCCCCAATGACACCCGCGCGAACGTGCTTTGGGCTCGGAGGTGGATTCAGCAGTTGACTGGTGCATGCTTGCAGTCTTTGGTGCAACTTGGTAGTGAGTTGCGTTGGATTGTACTAGGCGAAACATTTACACATACACACACATTGCAACGTGTCCCGCGCTACACATACACACACACACACACACACACACACACACACACACAACATGTGTGATGTACATTTCACCAGGTCGTGACGTTCAACACGCTGATTGACTTATATGGAAAGACTGGCCAGTGGGCTGAGGCGCTGGCCGCGCTGCGGCAGATGGAGGTGCGGCTTGAATTGCGTTAAAGAGGGGGACAAGCCAGGGCCACGGACGGCCGCACCACGGGAGGCGCCTGCCCCTTGCGAGACTCGACTGATCCTCTCAGCGCAACTCTCCATGGGTGCCACGTCCTGCCTGGATCGCCGCACTCGCCCGACCCCTTGCTTCTGCCCCAAACGAACTAACATTTTGTGCACTGCGGTCACCTGCAGGCGGAGGGCATCAAGCCTGTGACGCGCACGTACAACACCCTCATGATCGCCTGCAACGCCAGCGGGCAGTGGCAGGAGGCCCTCGGCGTTTACAACAGTGAGCAGCGGACGCGTGCTGCGTTGCCTGTTGCTCCATGCTATCCTCTTTCCAAGCATTGGCAACCGCTCTTCGCTCGGGTCGCTCTGCCACGTGTACTCGAGGAAGAGCCGCCCGCATCCCACGCTGATCAATGCTGCCCTGTGGCAACCTGCAATGCTGCTGCCCCATTCGGCCGTCAGACACTGCTGCAGCAAGCTGTCGTGATACTCCTTGATATTTCTTGGGGGACGGCTCCACCAATCCCCCGCAAAACCCCGCAGGTATGCTGGCTGCCGGCCACACCCCCAACACGACCACGTACAACGCCCTGATCAGCGCCCACAGCCGCGCCGGCAGCCTGGACCGCGTGATGGAGACGTTCAGCGAGATGGTCAGCCGCGGCTGCGAGCGCAGGTGAAAGGTTGCCGAATTACACAGCGTTGTGAAAGGGGTGGGCAGGCCTGTCTGAGGAGCTGTATGCAGGTGTCGAGGGCCAAGTCCATAATCTGCATGCTGCTTCAACCTAAGAAGATCGACCTGAAGCAAACCAACCCGCATGGACGCCGCAACGCAGCGTGATCACCTACAGTGCGCTCATTAGCGCCTGCGAGAAGGCGGGGCAGTGGCAGGCCGCGCTCGACCTGTTCGAGAGGATGCAGGCCGAGGGCTGCCCCCCGAACGTCATCACCTTCAACAGCATCATCACAGCCTGCGGCCAGGTGGGTGCCGGCTGTCCACGTACCTGCAATCCATCAGCTGCAGTTGCCTGGAAGCATACAACCTGACCACTGAACGTTTTTTTCAGTGATTGTTGTTGCGCATCCGCGTCCACCGTGCCCTTTGGCTGGGCAGGGCAGCGGGCAAGGCTTCAACCCATGGTGTCTTCATCGGAGTGTTCGGGGGCGGGCTGACTGCATCTGCGAGCCCACCCCTCCCGGTGGCCCCAAACCTTCTTGCTGCAGGGCGCCCAGTGGCGGCAGGCGTCGGAGATCTTCTCGCAGATGCAGCGCAGCGGCTTCCGGCCGGACGTGGTCACGTACACCGCCCTCATCTCAGCGTTTGAGCGCGGCGGCGAGTGGCTGCGCGCCCTTGAGGCCTTCAGGCTGGTGAGTGCGCAGTGCTACGCACAGCGTGACGCGATGTTGTGGATGCCAGCGAAGGGCGGTGGGACATCGGGTCTGGTGGCTTTTGAGGCCAACGGGACTGGGGGGGTACTGGTGGCATTCTATGAGTGCGTTGAGTCGCAGCGGTCCTATAAAAGTGAAAGGTTAGGCGCAAACAGCCTCAGATGGGAAGTATGATGGGGAGTCCGCTCCTGTTGATAAGGGATGCGGGCGTGCCCTGTGCACGCTGAGATGATGTGGCGACGCACGATCCCGCGCGGGTCCTTTTTGCAGCGCCTTGCGCCGCCAGCTCTTTGATTACCTGTGGCATGCACGGCTCAAAGCTTGAGGGAGCCTTTACGCACACCCCTGCAAACACGCTGCCGCGGCCCCGACCTTGGACACCTGCAGATGCAGGACAAGGGCTGTGTGCCTGACGCGATACTCTACAGCGCCCTGCTGGACACCCTCTGGGACACCGGCGTCGCCTGGGCGCAGGCCAAGGCCGCGCGCCTGTTCAGGCAGGCGGCCAGGCAGGGGCACTTCAAGAGGCCGCCGGGCCCGTCCGGACAGAAGTGCGAGCTGCCGCTGCAGCAGCTGAGCCCGGGGATGGCGCTGCTGGCGCTGCACTGCTGGCTGGCGGATCTCGGGTGGGCTGGCGGTGTCGGGGGCGGGAGTAGGATGCGCGCGTGCCTGAGTGTGTGTGTGTGTGTGTGTGTGTGTGTGTGTGTGTGTGTGTGTGTGTGTGTGTGTGTGTGTGTGTGTGTGTGTGTGCACGCGCGTGCGCGCGCGTGAATGTGAGTGTGATTGTGCATGTGCAAACGTGGGCGCACGTGTGGCATGTCCAGGGATCTGAGGCTCCAGCAATCAATCCATCGGCGCATGCCAGCGGCGCCCGAGGCCAGCTGCCAGCTGCCAGGCAGCCGCACGACAGCAGCACGCCGCACCCCCTGGCGCTATGCATGACGGCGACGCCCGCCTCAACGACGTCATCCCACCTGACACGCGCGCGCGCGCGCCTCTTCTTCACTGCCGCAGGGCCCTGGCCGAGGCAGGCGGCGCCGCGGCGCTGCCCGCGGCCCTCAGCATCTCCCTCGGCCGCCCGCGCCAGCGCGACGCCGCGGCGTCCGCCCTGCGCGACAGCGTGTACGCACTGCTGCGGAGCTACGGCAGGTGCGGCCCAGGCTTCCTGTTTCGGCGCCTGGGCGGTGCCTGCGAGCGGGGCGTCGAGCGTGATTGCTGCTTCTAAGTGTCGCGCTCGTTTCTGGGGCGCAGCGCGTGCAGTGCTAACGCAATGTCTTTTCAGGCAATGTCTGCTCAGGCAGTGTCTGCTCAGGCACTCGTGGGTGGGGCCCTAGTGCCGGGTGTAGACCGTTCCTATGCCTCAAGAAATGCTGGGACTGTACCCTACGCGTCGTTTTCAATTTCGTCCCTGCAGCCCGTTCGCGCCGACGTCGGGCGACGGCCTGCCGGCGCCATCGAGCGGAGCGAGCGGCAGCAGCAGCGCCGGCGGCAGCCCCAGCCGCGCTGAAGGGGGCGGCGGCGGCGGCGGCGGGCAGGCCAGGGGTGCGGGGGCGCCTGGCACCTGGACAAGGCTCGAGGCGTCGGGGCCGGCGGTGGCGGCGTGGGTCTTGCAGGTGCGATGGCGTGGGGTGTCTGTGAGACTGGTTTGAATATCGCAAAGTGCACCAGGGCTGGCACGACGTACGTGGCGCGCGCACTCACATGCATAGCGCCACGACACAGCCAAACAGTTGTCCCCAAGGGCTTGGGTCTGGTGCGGGCCGAAGCTTCCCGACCTGTGCTTCCTACAACACACCCACACCCAACCAGCCACCCAAATCCCGCCTCCCCCCCCACACACACACACATTTCCTCTCACTATCCCACACATGCACACATACACACACGCACATTCCCTCGCACGGGCGCATTCTCTCTCCGCCACTCCCAGGAAAACGTGCGCCACGCGGTCGACAAGTACGCACCCGCCCCCCTCCCCGCCGCGCCCCCCGGCGCCCATGCTTCCGCCGCCGCCGCCGCCGCGAGCGCCTGCCCAGATTTCGACGGCGCCGACGACGCCGTCGCGGCGTCCGAGGCGGAGGCCGGGGAGGATCTGGTACAGATTTCGCGCGAGCGCGCGGCCGAGGGCCGCAGCCGCGACGCGTTCGCCGCCGTTGCGCACTTCGAGAAGACGCGCTGCCTCAGCGTGCAGCGCATGGGGCCGGGCTACCTTGCAGCGCGGCCGGGGGTCGCGCGGGGCGCGGCGGCGGCGGCTCGGGCGGCGGGGGCGGAGGCGGGGGCGGCGCACGACGCGGTGCTGCTACTGGACCGCGCGGCCAGCACGGGGGCGCCGGTGCGTGCTAGCGGGCGGGCAGTGTGTGTGTGTGTGTGTGTGTGTGTGTGTGGGTGGGTGGGTAAGTGTGTGTGTGTGTGTTCGCATATGTGTGTTCAAGCAGGATGTTTGTCCAAGGGTTTCCAGCTATGTTCAAGCTCTAACAACCACGTGCCAGCCGACATGAGTCTGTCATCTTCTGCGCGTGTGTGTCCGCTCAGTAACCATCAGGCTCGAGAAGCCCTGCATGCTCAAACGCCAGTGTGCCCCTCTTCCTCTTCACTGGTCGCAGCTCGAGGGTCCTGGGTTCCCTGCCTTGACGGCCGCGTGCCTCTACCTCGTCGCGTCCACAACCTCGGACGGCAGCCGCACGTCCAAGGCCCACGCCCCCACCGCGGCCCAGGTGGCCGAGGCGGCGGGAGTGGAGGAAGGGGCGCTTGTCCAGGCGGAGGCGGTGGTGAGGGCGGCGCTCCAGGTGGGTGCGCGCGGCAGCCTGGCGGTGTCCCGCTGCCCGACCCCTGCAATTTGCTCCACACTGGGTGTCTCGTCACCCCCGCGCTTCGCACGCTCCATGGGGTTCTCCCTCGGACAGTTGTGCCTCACGCCAGCTGCCGTCAAACTGGGCCCCCCTGCCAGTCTCCCAAGCTAGCACACACTCAGTCCCTCCCTTCAAGAAGGCCACAATCAGCAGCCGCACCCCTGACTCAACCCTCATCCGCTCGAACTCTCTGTTTTGCCCCAACAGAGCCCCGATTTCCCCTATGGCGATCTGGAGGCCATCTCGGCGCTGCGCTGCCTCACCCTCTACTGCGACCGGCTTGCCGGGCCGGAGCCCGCGCGCCTAGACACACATGACGGTCACGGCGGGGAGGTGCGCCTTTAACCCACCGCCCGGCTGCGCGCAGCTCTTGCCCATGCCTGTCACGGCCTGGCCGGGTCCGCTCTGCTGCCTGCTTTGGAGAGCGCGCTCTGCCGCTTGGCGTGCGATTCCACACCCCCTTCTTCCCACCTGACTCGACCCGTTTCCCGCGTGCCAACACTCGCCATGCTGCCGCCTCGCACCGGCCGCCCAAAACCGACGACCCACACCGCAGCGCGCACGGCAGATCGTCTGCGCCGCCCTGGAGGACCCCGAATTCTTGAACTACCGCCCCTCCATCACCGCGGCCGCCGCCGTGTACGTGGCGCGCATGCAGCTGGGCCGCCTGCCCTACTGGCCGACCGCGCTGAGCGCGCTGACAGGCTACAGCGACGGCTGCACGCCGGAGCTCGCGGCCGCGATCCGCGGTGCGCAGCGCCTAGCGAGGGCGCCGGCCGGGGCGCCGGGCGCGCTCGGGGCGCCGTCCTCCCCCGTCAGCGGCGGCGGCGGCGGCAGGGGCCGCGCCGGCGGCGGGGCGGGGGCCGGTGGCGGGGCAGCCGCCGAGGCGGGGGGCCCGACGGCCGGTCCTGGGCGTGACGGGGCGTGAGC